TGAAACTGATGATGGTGGAAAACACCGAAACGTTTTTTTAATTGATAAATAAACAATAAATGACTGAAGAACCCAGGATTTGATTTTAATTTGGAATTTAAATTTTATGGCGACAAAATCGGCGGTGTAGTTCTACACTGTCGCAATTTTGGCGTTAGAGGTTAGGAATTTGTTTACTTTGAACATAGCCGTTTAGAAGAAACTTCTTTATAATGGAAATTTGTGATGGCTTTACCTCCGTATGCACCGCCAAGCTACCTAATCGCGATCAACTAAACGCGTTTAAAATTTAATCCGGTTTAAGAACCCAGCTGGTATGCACCGTTGAAATTCAGCGGCGGATTAGTTAAACCTTGTACGTATATGGCAACCGTGTTCTAGTGACTTGCGTTATCAACTTTCGCCCGGTGTTCCAATGAATGTGCCGCCGTTCGTGTTAAATATCGCTGTTAAAGGGAAAGAATATAACCGCCATCCATTGCGGCTAATTGCCAAAAATGATATGAGATAACGATTTTTCTTCTAGGTAAAGACATATTAACGGTGAAAACCGTTATTAACTGTTGAGCAAATCAACCAATAAGGTATCACAAAATTACTGGCGATTTTACTATATAAAAGCGATGTCCAGAATCTTGCAATTAAAGCAGTATAGAAATCTTAGATACTGGGATATTCTAGAAGGTGGCCAATTTCGTCTTGCAATCTAAAAACGACCGGATTGTTCAACGAAAGCGTCTATAAAAAGACGTCAAGTGCATCGACATAATTTGTGCGGAGTAATTGTCTCTTTGGAAAACCATAATCAATTATTTCTAAAACATCAATATCATCGTCTAATATCATTTCTTCTTCCAACTCCATTTTCCAAGTAGTTAGCACACGAACCGACTAGAATTTGCTGGTTATACTTGCTTTTGCGTGCTACATAATGTTAAATACTTTTACCTACAACCACTACTGAAAGTAGTGTAAAACACACTACCTACCATCTATCTAAAGTTCCATTTTACGCAATGTAAACTGAACAAACGCTCGATAAACCAACGCACGGTAAACTAAACGCACAGTTCATCATTCATCACAATATAAACATTGTAACTTATTGCAAAATACTTACCCTACTGAAAAAGTGAGTCTGATCTGTTTAAAACCAAGAAATCCAATATTTTGTCAGCAAACAACATTAACATTTTTTGGAAAAATGTTCCTGATATTGAATATTTGTTTATGAACGTATGACGTTTTAATTTGTAATTCTGAGCTGCTGTCAATTTTTTAATCGTTGTCAAAACTGACACATTTAAAAACACACATTTGTCTTTTAGTTTTAGTAAGTTATTGCGGTCGTAGGTAAAGTATGGTACATAATTCGAGTTGTAACGCAGTTACAGTGGACTTTAAATATACAGTATGTAAAAGTTACATCGATGCACACAAACACGAATGACCACGCACCACGATATCTGTCAAAACACCAATTCGATGAGGATACCGTCATATTTTTTAGCTCTGAAGCCCATAAAATTCTTTCTAACACTCAAAGAAGAATTAAAGTATAATGCTTGGTTGAGTAAAAATAAATTAAAGCTAAATCTAGCAGAGTCGAAATGTATGATAAGTGGTCAAACAAAAACATAAACTTTATTTAGGTAGAGAGAGAGAGAGAGATACACATTTTATAGTTCAGATGAACAACGACAATATTGAATTTGAAGGCAAAGTGAAATATCTCGGTTTTATCTTGAACGACCAGTAAATCTAAATGATTAGTTTGAGTACATAATTGGTAAAATAGATAAAAAGGTTGGTTTTTCTGTCTATGTTGAGGTTGTCAGTTGTCTTCAAACACAAAGACGTTGATTTTTAATAGTATAATTAAACCACATTTTGACTATTGCGGATCATTGCTTTGTTTTGGAAGCAAGACTGGCATCGATAAACTGCAAGTACTTCAGCTCCGTTTTAAATTGTAGTAGATATGAACCAATAAAAACATGTTGAAATCTCTCAATTGGCTTCACATTGAACATAGTTTCCAGTACCAACTGTTTCTTTTTATTTATAAGATAGAGTATGTACAGTTTGTATCATTGAGTTTTTAAAAATAAACTGAACTATTACTACCTACTACCCAGGCCTACATCACAATTCCCACATCTAACAACACAGCACAACTGTCACTTACTGCACTTTCACCGGTAGCCATTGTAAAGTTATATATCGGAATTTGTATAAAAAAGTATATTCCGTCATAATTTATATCATAAATTTTACTGACAGTAAATAAATCTATCGATTGCCTTTTTGCTACTAGTATAAAGTGATTCGGCCTGTATGTGATTTTTGCATTTAAGTGATACCATACCTATTTTTTTAGAGCATACGATTGTAAAAAGGCATTCTATCTCTATCACCAGCAGATGGATGTTGACTGTGCAGATGTTGTCCTCTTCCACAGAGTTCAACAAATGATGAAAGTAACCTCTAATGCACTTAGGCAACAGATTACTAATAGAGAAGGTAATGTTGGACATACATACTTATAGAAATGGCAATTTTATTTGAACGTTGTTTAACGGATTGTAGCTAGAAGGTTAGACAAAGAAATTAAAGAAGTCTTAGATGACTACAGTCAAGACCAAGGCAAAAAAGTTCAATTGCTAACGGGAAGAAGAGTTACTTTAGCAGAAGAACTAAGTAAGTATTAAAATATACATGATGGGCCAACGAAATGAAGGCAGCTCTAATTATTTGTGCTTAACATTCAAAAAACTGGCAAAGGATCATTTTTGTTGGGCCAACGTTTAAGCTATCTTCAGGGCTAATGAATTTAGTGTTTTATCATGAACAAGATCCATTGTCACCCGAGGTAGATATACAGGGTGATTCAAATTTGGCGTCATTCCTTTTAAAGGGTAATAGGGGCTCACTTGGAGAGTACGAGAAAAATATGGAAATTTTTTTTTTCGAAAATTTCTAGAAGATATTAACAGTTGAAGATCGAATTTCAACTTTGTTATTAAGCATTATTTAGAAATCGTCCCATGTTTATTTAATTGGCAGCATATTGGAATACTTAAGCATTTAAAAAGAAAAATTACGATCTTTGCTTCAAATTACAAACATTTTTGATATCAAAAAAGTTATCTTCTACAATTTTTTGATGAAAAGGCAATGATATTTTTTGTCATTAACAGATAGTTACAGGTGGATAGCCCTTGTCAATAAAAACCATAATTTGTCAAACTGTTACTTACTTTGAAGCTCCTTTCACGAATTTGCGGATATGCTATTTGTTCTGGGGAAATGCGACCGAAACATAGCAGAAGGTGTAAGAATCGCGCCAACAACGGGCTAGAGACACTGGAGATTGACTCCAGAAAGATAGTGGACGACAATAGATGTTCGCGTTCCAGACACAGAGGAACGAGTATTGGAGATAATTGCAGCAGAGCCTTCCAGGATACTCAGAACATTGCACAATAACTGCTACTTTCCCAGGCACCAAATAAATACCGAGGAGGGGTTACATTCCTACCATTTTTTTTTTGCAAATTTATCAGTTTTTAATGACATTTTTTTTACTATTTTTTCTGTACTCCTAAAACACCACCAGGCAACACCTCCAGATGAATGACGCCTATTTTTTTTGAATAACCCTGTATTGTTAGACTAATAAGCAATGTTATTTTGCTTTAGAAATTTTTCAAGCGAAATAACATTAACCCATACTTTTTTCTGTCGTTTTGCAGGCCCATTATGTGTTAAGTATAATATGCTTAAGCTGAACTTTTCTTTTTATAGAACGGGTACGACAGATCCAAGAAAAACTAGAAGAATTTATTCAAGCCCTCAATAAAGAAAAATAAGTCTGTGTTGTCCAGTACAAATATTATTCTATTTTATTTCCTAAGTTCTAACACTGTTGAGATAAAGTCAAATTTCCATTTTGTTTTATTTGCATGTTTAATATGTTTTTTGTCGTATATTGAACAACGGAAGTAAATAATCTTATTAACTATTGTTTCCCTTGTGATGTGCGACTATTGTTAATTGATTTTTACAGTTGGAAATAAAAAGTTATGTATATTTGATTTCAATCTGTCAAATCCATATGCTTAAGTACCCATAATAAAGAAATCCACACAACGTCGAAAGTCTTTTCATTACACACCCAGAAAACAATACCTATCACTGCGCTTCATCATCCGGATTGGTGACCCAACATAAGGTGCATAATACAGGACTGTCCAACATGAGGCCCGTGATCTCGATTTATGCGGCCCACGTAGCGGTACCCTAAATGCACGGTTCCTAAAGTATAGAAGGTTGCCTGATAACTTTGGACCAAAGGGAGTTTGGTGCTAGTAGTTTGGAGTTTGTTCTCATATTTTAAACGCCCAGAGCGTTTGCATTGAGTAAGTATGGAATTAGCTGGCGTTTCTTTATAAATTAATTGCTTAATAAGCATTGCAATTTACATTCTCTCACATCCAACCGCACGATGTTTGCGATAACATTTTCTTATCCATTTTTTGAGCCTTAAAGTCCTTTCGAAAAGAAAAAAAAGATAGTTTCTCTGCGCTATTCTTTGCTTTTTTTGAATTATTTTTGCACATATACACTACAAACAACTCCTCCCGGTATCTAAACCAAAAACATTTTAAATTCCTTGTCAATTTCTGACTAGGTACCCATATTTTAATTATGCTGTTGTGTAGGGGAGTTCCGAAGAAACCACGAAAATCGCTGGAAGATGACATAAGCGATAATGCCGTATGATGGTCAGCACTTTGGCACAGTTGGTTGGTTCGTTATCGAAAGGACTGCAGGGCTTTTGAAACCGGGAAACGTGCGAAATTCAAAAAGTTTTACAAAAATAGCCAAGGAGCTGTAATAAAATACAAATTCAAAAAGCCAATGGGCTTTGTGAGACAGAAATTTTACAAAACTTAATACTAAATAAAGGTTCTCAAATTGTTCGTCACAAAAGTCGTTAATTGAACGACCTCAGGAAGTTGTGGGTTTAGGAATTAACGAATTTCTGGTCGCTTAAGGGAGGATATTTAGTTCCCTCAGCGCCAAACGATGGATGAAAAACGAGGACAAAATAGTCTACAATTCACCAAACAATAACGATTATATAAAAAAAATGGTGTGCGTCATGGGACGCTCGACAGAAGTGATAACATATATTTATAGAAACCATAAAATATTGAACTTGTTTAACGCATGACGGCAAAAATAATTTTATTTTATAATTTTAATATTCTTGTTAGTCTAATAATTTAGAAATGGATCAGGAATAGGTGAAATGTAATTTAATTTTTTTTTTATGTAAAATATATTTTATAATAATGCGTTTGCATGCTTTCATTCGGTTCGTCACCGAGGAATACTAATGGTGTTTTCAGTACTGCGTTTCACTTTATTAAGCTTTTATTCGGACTTCACCGTTTCAACACACATTTGGAACTCTCTACTCACTATTCATTGTCCAAGATAGACGAACATAATGACAAGGGCGGTGTTGCCGATACAATAATGAATTCAAACGAACTCTACCGTTACAATTTTTTATTTGCAACATTTAACATTCTCCAACGAGAGGTTGTACATATTTCTCTTCTTGGGTTTGTGGAAACTCTTCTTCTTGAGTTTCTGTATTTTTCATTCGTAATGTCTTATTTGCTTTGTAAAATCTTTGACGTTCAGCACTGGTTTGTGTTTGATGAAGCTACTTTGAGTTGATCTATTTCTGAATGCTTTTTTGCGTGATAGAAAATAAGAAGACGGAACCCATGTTTTCTCAAATAATCAAGGTAAACTCAAATATTTTTTCAATAAAATTCTAAACATATTTATTATATATTATTACAAAACAGTAATGATTTTTGTCATCTTATGTTAAATATGATTGCTTACAAAATACATATCTAAATATTGATTATTTGTTGTTACAAAATAAAATAACAAATAATAGAACATATTATTGCATTAAAAGTCATTAATAATAGTTGTGACACTTTATTTGCATTTAATCTTGTTCTTCATAAATTGACCATGCCTTCTTTAGAGAATATCCGCTCAACATCTGGTTTAATAATTGTCTCCGATGAAAATCACTAAACAAGTAGGAAGTAATATTTTAGGAGATCGGAACTTTGAATCGTGCTATACAATGCAAATGGACATCATCTGGGCAGCATCTGGACTACAGACGGAGAGTAGAGTAGAAGACATAAAGAATCGGTACCGGGATTCTATCGACACGATTTAATTCAATTTAATCTTTTCTCGATAGGAATTTGCGTCCGCAATCAATCAGCCGATTTAAAACAGGTTCAACAGTTTTTCAAAAACTTTATTGTAGTGGATTTTAGATCAGGAATAGATAAAATGTAATTTAATTTCCTTTTGAATGTAAAATATCTTTCTTATTTGCAACATTTGCTTGCATTGCAAAGAAGCAAAAAGACAACGGCACACGGTGTTCCCAAGCGGTCACCCATCCAAGTACTAACCGCGCCCGACGTCGCTTAACTTCGGTGATCGGACGAGAACCGGTATTATTCAACGTGGTATGGTCGTTGCCTGAAGGTATATGCTCAAACGCGGGATTTATACGTTCAGTATTTAGGCTCTGATTAATATTCTTCAACGAGAGGTTCGACATATTGCTCTTCTTGGGTTTGTGTAAACTCTTCTTCTTCTTGAGTTTCTGTATTTTTAGTCGTAATTTCTGGATCCTGTTATGTAATATTTTATTCAATACGTAGTCAATAAATCAGTTACAACCATGTTTTGTTGCTTTCGGGACTATTTGCAACAAATGTTTGTTTCTGTGA